TCTTTGGGAATGTGATGATGAATGAATGAGGATAGAGTCCTGTAGTTGCCCAAAATGTACCTCGTGATCTGGAAAAACAAAAAAAAAAAAAAAAAAGGATTCCATGTGAAGGGTTTATTTCTTTAGTATTTTTGTGACACTTGATGTTGTATCAAGATGGATCCGCCATTCAGATAACATAATCTCGTGTGCACCTCTCCAAAAGGATCGACATCCAATGGTAGAGTCAGACTTAACTAACACAGTGAAGCAGCTCTCACTCAATGCTTTGTTCAAACTTGAATCTCACCCATCTATGATATTTTTGCTCGCCGCGACATCCTCATGTCCACAGGAAGAGTATGAGACAAGACAGCCAGTCGATTCCAGGGCAAGTTCTTGGTCAGACATAGTAACATTCCAGTGTGCTGTGGCTCAGTGGGGTCTCTCAAGCGCTATCAATTTTTAAGGATGTAAACTTGCAAGAAAGAGGAGTTTCCTCTCGATTCCCGACCAAACCAAGATTGGAAAGAGGGGGAGAGTCATTCAACAATGACAAAAACTGAAGGAAGCAATCATAACTAGACAACAATGCTGAGCCATTGGATTATCATGATAAAATATCCCTCAATTTTCATAATGCACTTGATGACAATGAGATGGATCGAACGATATCGATTAGGACATTCTGAAACACTCGATGGGCGAAGGAATGAATGCTATGCAATCGAAAAAACACAAGAAATGTTTAGGTTTGCAGCACAAAATTCACTAGAGATCGGAATGAGCAGAAGACATTCATCTTTTAAAAACAAGTGAGTGCAGCCAACATAAGCAGAGTAGTTGAAGGGTGGAAAGATTGTTCAGTGCTTTTTAAGGAATACTTATCCTGTCAAAGAGTTGATCCCATCGTTTTGCTGTTTTTGCAGGAGGACTGGTAATTAATTTCAACTGTGTTTTTTTATTTTCAGGCATGCCGTCTTTTTCCAGAAGGGTGCTCAGCCTGAGAAAATGCATTATTGAAAGGAAAACGTTATTCGCACCACAGGATTCCATGATGTAAACAAACAAACATTCCTTACCTGTCTATGGCTGCTATTTGAGTTGAAAGCTGTCAGAGTCAGATTTTACCTCTTTCTTTAGTCTCGTGAAACTGTTTAATTTTTAAAATGAGTGACCAGCTGAAGTTCATTGTCGAACGTCTAAACGACAAACCATTTAACAAGAATTTCAACTTAATATCGTTTGATTCATCAAGTCCTGACCAGCTTTTACAAGTGAGTTGTAACATTAGTTCTGCAACTCTAAAAAACGCGCTTTTAGGAATTACAATTCATTGACCTTCAACATTTGCTTCTCTTTAATGTGCTTTCTTCAACTCCAATTTTTCTGTGAAGGTTCTTAGTGATGTGCTCGCTGAAATGGATCCTGCACACAACATCGATATTCGGACTGAGGAACCAGAGGCAACAACACTACGTATTCTGAATGCATTGCGCATTTTAAAGTACAAACCACCACCTGAAATTACATTGTCAGTGTTTTCAACATTTATGTTAGCCAGTAAAATTTAAGCATAAGGACTGTGTACTAACAAATTTTTCCTCTTTGAAACCTAGGAAAACTTTTGGTCAAGGCATCGTTCAAGGGGACAAATTAATCCTACATCCAGTGCTAGAGTGGCTGCTTCAAAATATGGATGATCTACAAAAAAGGGCATATCTTGCAAAATTTCTGGTCAAATTGGAAGTGCCACCTGATATCCTAGGAGATGCAGACATAGCTGCTATGTTTGAACAGGTACAGGTACTAGTGGTTTTCAGTCTTCTTTACCTCATCAATTTCTTTGCTAATTTAAAACAAAAATTGTAGTATGAGAATTTAATTGAGGAGTTCAAACTCATCCATAAAGAAACTGAAACAGTAAAGAATAGTGGTTATTCTATTGGAGAGCTGAAAAGTGACATGGAAGCCATGGAGAAAGAGCGAGATATTGTTTTGAACCGCATCCAGCAAGTTCAGCGCAAGGTATGCCAGAAATCAGTCTAGATTTACCTGAACTTCACGAAACCTTCTTTGTAAACTTTACAAACTGAGTCATACAAAAAAAAATTTCAGGTAGAAGGATCTCCTTCATATGAAGCTATGTTAAATGCTGCTCATGAACTGAGGATTCAACGAGAACGCGAGAAAGAGCTTATAAATCAGCGACAGGATGAAGAATCTGCATTATCTCATCGAGACCAAAGATTACAACGCCTTCAACAACAGCTGAAGGATTTACGCCATGCAAGTGTTGGAGCAACACCTCAAGGTATGTTCATAATTTTCTGAATTGCCATTATGAGTTTGGTTGTATTGTCGTGGTTGAACTAAGGACATTAATCATACTACTGCTCTTCATAGGGCTTTTGCAAAGATTAGAAGAAGAGGCTAGTGTTAATAGCTACATAGCTAAACAAAAGCTGCCCAGAGAAATTGAAGCTAGAGAACAGGAAGTAGCTATTATGAGCGCTGTCATTGCTGAGCCAGCAATGGGACGCAGTGACCTGGATGCTCTTAACTCAAAGGTACATTTTCTAAAACTAACCATTATTTTAAGAATTTTTTTCATCATGTATATTGATTGGTATATAGTAAAGTTCTCCAAAAATATCCATATTTCCAGTTGCAAGCAGTGAACTCAGAAATAAGTCAACTTGTTCAGAGACACTTAGCCACTAAAAACCCTGCTGAGGATAAATTGGCACCTTTTAGGCAACAAGCAGCTATAATTGCCCGCAAAAAAGATTCTACTGCCGAGCAGCTTGCTGAAATGCGTTCTCGAGTCGCAGCTCTTGAAGAAGAACTTCAGGTACCATGTTTGTTTGTTTTTAATTTCTTTTTTTCCTTGATATATACATTAATTCCCTTCACAACCTTCATACAATTTTGATTGATTGATTATTTTGCAGGAAAAGCAGAGTCAGCTTCAGGCTGTTGCTGGTGATTCTGTATTGCGTGGGGAAGAATTTAAACGCTACGTCAGTAAATTAAGAGGTCGCAGTTCTTTATATAAGAGGCACAGAAGTCAGCTCTCTGCTCTAAAGGCAGAGTCAGGGGTATTGTCTTGGACAGTGCAGACCTTGAAAACTCGTACTGAAAAAACAATGGCAGGCATGGTAAAATATTTTTATTTTTAACCCTTGTGTTTTTGAAATGTTTTTATGTCCGTTCAAGAATTGACATAAATGGAAAATTTTGGATTTAAAGGAGAGAGTTGCTGCCAAACATGGAATGTCTGGCATACTGGAATCAGAATCTCGTTTAGATGAGATGGCTCTTCAAAAGAGTGAACTGGATATGGTAAAAGGCCAGAGTCTTGACCAAATTTCAAGTCTAGTTTTGGAACTGAGGGAACAAATAGCAAGTCGCAAAGCTCAACTTGCTCCAGTTATTAAAGGTTTGTGTAAATGTTTTTTCATGCTGCAGCTGCAGTGCTTGAATCAGTCTATTTCTAAGTATTTATTGTCTTTTTAAATTAGAATTGAGACCTTTGCGCGAAAAATCCCAGGAGCTGACTTCTGAATATAATCAAGCAAAGCAGAAGTATGACTCAGCTTCTGCTGGATTTGACAGCAGTATAGCTAAGCTTGAGCAAGTAAGTGTAATGAAGTAATATTGTTGTATGGTATTATGCATCAGTTTTATTCATTCGAAAACTTTTGGAAAGGAAACAAACGCTTTGCAAGAGGAGCGTGATGCATGGGAGTCTGAACAACATATGCTGGAGGCAAAGTGTGTCATAATGGAGACAGATCTTGAACGAGTGGCTGAGGAAATTCGTCTCTACAAGGGAGGTGACAATGCTGAGAAAGGAAAAAAGTCGGTCAGGTTAGTTGGACGTACTAAACTTCTTCATGAATCTCTATCAGGATTTCAGTTAGTTTGTGTTTTTAAAGTTATGTTTACTAATTTTGCTTTATTTATTAGGGAACTTCTTGGGGCAGCCATCTCTGAACGTGAGAAACAAAGCAGAACCCTGAAAGAGGAACAGAAGGCAGTTCAGGAAGTACAAATTAACAACCAGCTTCAAAAACAGTTATGGAGTCAAATACAGGAGTAAGTTTGAGTCAAATTCTGATTTACATCTTCAAATTTTAATATGAGCACCTAACTAAAGTGCATTGTTTGTTTTTTATTCTGTAGATTGATGGAAGCAAAACTTCAGTGCTACAAAACAGCCAAAGAGATGTCAGGAATAGTGACCATTGAAAGAGGATCTGAAACCTTAGTGCTGCAGTAATTTCTCTTGTTCAGGTTCTTATTATTTATTTTTCTGTTTTTAATCATTCTAGTCATATGATAACTTTGGTTGTTCACCTCGTGTTGTTGTTATAAGCATAGTGCTTGTCCGTCCACATTGTTTGTCAAGTCAGTTCGATTCCCCCGTCACGAAAGTTAGAAGTATGTTAGCCTCACTGTGCCTATTTTGAGTGTAAAATGATGTGCACTATAAAACTTTTTTAATATTTATTCATTACCATAAAATCAACAAAACGGTAGAAAAGAAAACAAACAAACAATCACTATGACTACCGGGAAATTATCACAAAATACAGGAAAGGGGAATCGAGCAGTCCTTTCAGTGCCCTCAGGCGCTGGTCGCGCTGCGCTTGACGCTCGCGAGGCGCGCGGGCCGCAGGTCCTCCGAGGCGCTGGTGCCGCCGCCGGCCGCGGCCGCACTGGCGCCGGCCCTGCCGCTGCGGATGCGGACCGAGGCGTGCGGGGGGAAGCTGATGGCCAGGCGCAGGGCCTTGTAGGTGATGACCACCTGGTCGAGCGGCAGGCTCAGCGACCCGACCCTGGGGGCGGCCGGGGCCGAGGCGGGGGCGGCGCGTGGCCGCGGCGCCGCCGGCGGGGGCTGCGGCGGCGGCGGTCTGGTCGCGGCGGAGCCGGGGGCGGGCGGCAGGGCGGGCACCGCCTCCCGGCGCCGCTCCCGGCGCCACGCCGTGCGCGGGTGACACGCCGAGCACCGCAGGTTCCGCCCCTCCGAGTCCTGCGAGTCCTCGTCGCCGCCGCCGTCCTCCTCCGCCGCCGGGGAGGCGGACGGGCTCGTCGCCGTCGGGCTGCCCGGTGACGCTGGCGACGGCCGCCCGGCGCGCGCCGTGTGGGGCCGCGGCCGCGAGGACGGCGCGGGCGACGGTGACGCAGGCGGCAGCACGGTCGCCGGGTCCAGGTAGATGCCTACACGCCGCAGGAACCTAGAGCAGGGCAGAGAGAGAGACTCCGTCAAACTAATCCCAGGGTCGTACGAGGCGCCTGGAGGGTAGGCCGTCCCGTTGCACCGCCGTGTCGTGCGGGACGGCCTACCCCCAAGGCGCCCGAACTGAAAATGTCGATCAGCCCAGTCAGTCAACGGCAACGAGCTTCTCGACAAGTTTGTGGCACAATATCGGCGTCGAGTGTCGAGTCGACGGAGTTTGACCTCGCGCTGCTGCCGCTGCTGCTTACGTCGGGGGCGGCTGTCGCCAGGCGTTGTCCACCCGGGAGGTGCGCATGATGTGCGCCAGGCGCAGCACGAGGGCGCAGTTGTCGCGGCCGATCTGCGCGCACCGCTCCTCCTCGCCCTGGACCTGCTTGAGCTTGCACGAGACGTGGCCGCGCTCGGGGGGCGGGCCCACGTCCACCACCGGCAGCGCGGACTCGACCTGGGGGGCATCATCATCATCGTCATGGGCAATTCCAGGAAGGGGTGTCCGTACGTCACGTGATTTGTGAGCGACTATGAGAGGTGCTATACGGCTTCGTACGAAACATGACTTGGACGCGTCTTAAGATGGGAAGTCCGGACATGTGTTGGTGTTGTAAAACAACGCAGCGCCTCTGAGTCGCTCACAAAGTCGCGTGACGGACGGACATTTTTGACAATTTCTCCTGGCATTGCCATCTTAGACAATTAAACTCGTTGGAAAGTGGATTAACTTTAGGCGGGTGAGGAATACGTGCGTAAAGGGGGAGGGGGTTTAGGGAAAGTACACCTCTCACACGCCCCCGTCCCCATGGGCCCCACGGTCCCCATGGTCCGACGCTCCCTCTCCTGTTTGATCAATGGCAACAAACAACCCCCTCCCCCCTCTGGCGGAGCGGAGCCGGTGAAGCACGATGGTGAAGGGGGCCGGCGGCGGCCGGACTGGCACATGTGAAAACCACTCAGACTTAAGAAGCTCAGCTCTCAGGCCCCCGCCGGACTAGAACGACTTCGGCCGGCTGGTTTGCTGGGAAGATATCTTCCTTGAGATCATCCCTCTCCATCTCCCCTTCCCCATAGTCCGCTGAGCGCAGCGAGTGAGTCAACTAAACTACCCGCGCCCCGCCCAGGAAAAGGTAACCGAACACCCCCTGCGCACAACCCTCAGCGCCGGCGGCGCCTCTCTGGACGAGGAGAAAAGAGAAATAAAACATTTGTCCCTCGCCTCTTACCTTTTTGCGGTGGTGATGGAAGCGGCGCTGCTGCCACGGCCTGACGAGCAGGTTCTCTCTGCGCGTGAGCATGTCGCACCCGGCCCGCGCCGACGGAGGTCTGCGCTCGCTGGCGACGACGTCCTCGCCCTCGCCCCTCCGGGCCGGGTCTGAGCCGCGGCGCCGGCTGCCTACCGGCGCGGGGCAGTGAGGGGGGAAAGGAGTGGGG